ACTGGGCTGCAGCTGACCTAAAAAAAAAAAAAAAAAAAAAAAAAAAAACAATTTCTATAGCGGCTCAAAAAACCTCAATACAAAATAAAATAGCCAAGACTACATTTAGAAAAATAAAAAGAAACAGCATAAATAAATCAATAATAACTAAAAAATGATAAATAAACGAATAAATAAAAAAAAAAAATAATAATCAAATAATAAATACATAAATAAAGAAAAAATAAATAATAAATAACCAAATAATCAAGTAATAAATAAATAAAAATGATAAAGAAATAAAGAAAAAAATAAATAATAAATAAATATAAACTAAGCAAATCAATCAAGAACAAAAACAAGAAAATAGGGCGAGAAGACCAACAATAACGGTAACAGTAATAAATATCGAAGAAAACGATAAACCGAAGCAAAAAAAAAAAAAAAAAAAAAAGCACGCAAAAACAAAAAATATGATCATTATTCCTTAAAAACAAACAAAAAACGCAGAGAAAGATACAGATCCCCAGCAGTCAAATACTCCAACTTTATCGTTTGCATTTGGATCAGAAACAATAAAAAAAAAAGAAAACAAAAACCTCAAGAACAGAACCGGCGCTTTCCTAAAGAGGGAAAACCCAATCAGAAAAAAGGATCAACTAGACCTCAGCGCACCAGCAATAAAAGAGAATCCTCGGTGTTCCCCTACAGCGCCTGATGCTGGGAAATGCAGAAACCCCACCCCACCGATCGCGTGCTCGGCAAAGCTTGGGAAATAAACGCTGTCGAGGGCGATATCTGCTGAGGGGTGAAGTGATCTCTTTGTCGTGGTGTGGGAAGGTGGAGATCTTTGCATGATCACTGCATCCGATGGCGGCCAACGGAGGGTGGACGCGTCCAGTGAAAATGGGGAGGCGTGGGTGGAGCCCCTGGGGACACTCAATTGCCCGCCTGTGGGCCAACTGGCGTGATGGACAGGGGAAAGGCGTCCTGAGCAGCTTCATCACTGCGGCGATTGGAGAAGGGAATGTTCTGCGCGTTACCCTACCGGTGTGTTATAAAGCGAGCGAAAAGGAAAAGGGTCGGCCTTCTCTCTGGCTGGCAGACAATGTTCACATTGTGGGTATTTGGCTGGCATCCCGTAATGTGCATGCTGCTGCCGCCAGCTCCCTTTTTTACGAAGGTGGTGAAGGCGAGGATGATGGGGAGGAGTTGATTTTACTGTGCGGGAAGAAGGACGATGGGGAATGGGCGCGCAGCCATTTGTCTGTGTGCCTGACTGCGAAGCTGAAACGGGCGAAGAATTTGGTGAGGACTTTGAAGGAGCTGTACATTTTTGTCTTCCAGTTCTGCCCTTACTCAAATGTCAAGAAAAATCTTCTGTCCGTCGAGGGCTGCGACACTTTCATGCCTCCAGCCGGGCTGGTTGGATGTTTGTCCGGCAAATTATCCGAGAGTACATGGAGGGAAGAGGGACTTGGGGGCTGAACGCTACGGGGACGGGTGGGGCAGCTGTGGAAGAAGGGTTTTCCAGTGGATCGGCTTCCAAGGGCGTTGGTTTCTGGGCGTAGCGGTCCGTTGGGAATTGGGGGAAGAATCAGATGTAGTGCCTTGCAATCATCGGGTTCACCTTTTGTGGAGGCGATGTCTATTTACAAGTTGTCACCGTCTTGCGGCAGCATCTTTTTGATGGGTGTGGGGGTAAATGAAACAGGCAGCGCTGCATTTCTTGAACAGTCGCAAGCGCATGAAATGAGGTGGGAAACAATGTTCAACGGAAAGAAGGATACAAACGGAATCACTTTGGGACTGGGTAAGGAATGGCAGGTGGCGATTGTGCCTTGGACTGGCAGTCGGGTCTCTGTCTACACTACTGGCCAGCGTTTCAAGAATTCAACATCGACATCAGCGAATGGAGGGAATTCACAGGAGATTGGACACTTTCGCATTGAAGGGGATGGAGACTGCGCAGACGACACACGGAGTGAGAGGCGTGTGACGACGAAAAACGTCTTTCTGTACAACCGACCGTTGAGTATGGAAGAATTCCGGAAGTACATTGCACCCTGGCGCAGCCGGCCACTTCAACGTTGTGCCAGTGTCTAGTACTCTTGCTTGGGGAGAATCAAAAGGGCCGGAAGGGCCAAAGATGGGGCCGTTACCAGCGCTGCCTGAGGAGTGGGTGAGCTGGCAGTGAGGCCATTTCTGACAGCGTTTCTTCTTATCCCGAGAGCAGCGATAACTTGAGGGCGATGGATTTAAGGAGTGAGAGCACCGTGCATGGGTGTGTGTCTCGGGTGTTTTTGCTTCCGCTTTTGGGGCTTTGGGGCACTGCGGCTTTCTGTTGGGGTCTGGGAGAGTGTGGGGGTGCTGCAATCGTTGGAACACATCCGCAGCACCACTTCCAATTCCATTGCCTTCCGAAGAGTAATTTTTTTTTTTGTATGCTTGTGTGTGTTTATCCATTGAATTCTTGCTTTTGTGAAATTTCTTTGATCATTCACACACATCCTCATGTGTGGCGCACCCTCTCCTTCCTGTTTTCTTCTGTTGCCCACACGCTGTGCCGGACTCATTCCTGTGATTCCCACGGACTGCACAAAAGGAGGAGCGGAGGAGCAGACCGTGTGCCGCATGTAATGTGAGGGGCGTTGTGTGGCCTTGTGGAAAAGTACAATCTTTTTTTTTTTACTTTTTCTTGGTGTGGGCAATGTGTGTGCACACAAACGCACGGTCGTTTTTTTTTGCTTGGTGCACGAAATAGAAGTCCTGCCTGATCACTTTTTCTTTTGTGGTTTTTGCTGGACTATCATTCTTTTTCTGCCTTTTGTTGATTATGTTTTGTTTTCTTTGTAAATCCCTTTCGCTCGTTTTTGTATTTTCTCTTCCCACTGTCTCTTTGTGTCTTTTTTTCCCGTTGGATGTCCCTCTGTCGGCTTTGCTGTTGAAATGCCCCCATTCCTTCATCTTCCCTGCTAGAGGCGCCGGTGGCCAGCGACGACGGTTGTTTTTGTTCGCCTTTGCGATGGCACGAGGATGACGGGGCGCCCTGCCCCGGCCCGTTGAGTGCACTCGGAGGGGAGCGAACGGTGTGCGCCGTGCGTCACCGTAGGTGTGGGACACCACCCGCCACAACCTGTTGTGGGGTGTAATTTCAATTTGTCGGGGAAGAGAGAATTGAAGGACTGTGCCCTGGACTTGGATGCGCCCCGTTCCTCTCGTTGCGGCCGTGGGTCTGTGCTGAGCGCATGGCTCTTTGTTGTGGTGCGACATGGGTGGTGTTGCTTCACCGATTGCTTTTTGCATGCGTCGTGTGGCGGACTTCTTTCCCGCATGGCACCGCCCCTGTGTGGGGGAGAGTGGAGGGAGCACGGGTGTGTGTGGGTGGATGCCGACCCCGCCCGCACATTTGGGACCTCCACGCACGTGTTTTTATTGACAGCCTCTTGCGGCACTCAGGCCGTGGAAAGGGAGAGGGTAGAGAGGGTCGTTTTTTGCTTTTTTGATTGGGAGGAAGGATGGAAGATTTCTCTTCTGAGTTCTTTTCAGTGTTGTTGCCAGCAAGTACGAGAAACATAAATTTGAGCAATTGTAGGATGAAATTCTGATGCCGTTCCGTGTATGCTGCTCCATTGCCGCTAATTCACAGGGTATCCACGGCGCGATTTAGTGCGGTGCTGTTCGATGAGGGAGGGCGATGGTGTTGGCGGCGTGATTGCATCTGCGCGTCTTCTTTTCGGTGTTTGTGCTGTGACGAGGACTGTTCGTGGCCGGATCTCTCTGTGTGCCACTGTGTTTAGCTACTGTTGTTTTTGCCTTTTTTTCCTCTGACCGTGCAGTTAGAGATATTTTGGATTGACAATCACAACTATCGTTTCAAGGTGTTAGTGATTACGCGCATTATTAGGAGTAGTAGTGGGATAACGCTCTATCGGAATCGTTTCTCTGTATTTGCCATTTTTAGAAAAGGATTTGCGAAGCGGGAGGATTGGTCGACGGTGCGAGTGCGACACGCCACGACAGCCCTGTTGGTACCTGTCTGGGTCTTTGGATGTGGTCTGCGGCGGGTGCGTGTCCGCGCAGTCGGTACCGTGTGCGGCGCAGGGCCATTTTGGCTATGCGTGCGGCGCTGCTCGTTGTGTTGGCGCTGGTGGCGGTGGCTGTGTGGATGCCCGCGGTGCATGCGGTGGTGTTGCGACTGCGGGGCGGCACGGTGGACAGAGCCATTACGGTTGGCCGCGCCGTGGACACGTTGCTGATGGACGGCGTGTACATCACGAACGGCGTGGCTGTGGTGTTCGACGTGCCGGCGATGCTTCCCGGTGCGCTGTGCATCGAATTGAGGAACTGCGTGTGCGACGGCGGTGCGCAGATCTACGTGCGGGGCTACAACGGCGAGCCGGCGAGTGACCGGAGCCTGGAGGTGAGCGTGAGCGGGCTGTCCGGGAGCTACTGCTCGCTTGTGTTTGTGCACAACCTGCCGGCACGCACGAACGTGACGGTTCGTGACTCGACGATTGTGACGGCGGGACCGATGCGCTACTCGCAGCTGAGCGGGCTGACGGACGCGGTGGCGTCGCCGCTTGTGCTGCACGCGACGTCGTTGTTGCAGACGCAGCTGCGTGTGAGCAACACTGTGCTGAGGTCGTTGCAGGCAGGCGGGTCGGCGGTGTACGTTGGCGGCGGCGTGGACCTGCTGTCGAGCGCGGTGGTGCTTGACGGCGTGTTGCTGGAGGCGTCGGGCGGTCCGACCGCGTCCGCGATGCATGTGGGGTCCTCGTCGCGTCTCAGCCTGCGGAGCCACTCGGTGTTCTCCGTGACGAACGCGTCGGTTGTGAGCAGCGGCGGCGGCTTTGTGCTTGGCGAGCGTGTTACTGTGTCTGACTCGGTGCTGCGCTTCGTGGGCGTCGAGGGGTCTGTTGCGTCGTCGCTGGTGCGTTGCGACGGTGGGACGGTCGGTGGCGGCGGGTGGGTGGAGCTGCGCGACGTGTGGGCGGTGGGCGAGGCGTCGTCGGTGGCGT